ACCTTGACTGTGCTTAACTTTCTTAATTGTCCCAAATTAAGACTCTAACTGTGTTTACTTTCCTTAATTTTTCCAAATTAAGACCTTGACTGTGCTTACCTTTCTTAATTACCTTGAATTAAAACTTTGCTTTTCTTAATTACCAAATTAAGACCTTGACTGTGCTTAACTTTCTTAATTATCCCAAATTAAGACTCTAACTGTGTTTGCTTTCCTTAATTACTCTTAATTATATTGAATTAAGGTTTTAATGTGCATATGATGCATGTATTCCGGTTTAATCATATTTTACCAAGTGTTTATACGAGGGGCATTATTTGGGCACCTTCCACTTGATTGGTAAGACCACCAAATTAATACCCCAAGCCTAGGAAATTCAAATTAAAATGGACAAACCTTGTCAACATTTCAACTGATTATTATTCCATCATCGGTATCAATTTCCTTTTCTTAAATGAGCATAATATCAACAACATTTAAAGAATTTAAAATGCATGCCATGAATACAACATGTTTTCACAAGTTTGTGGTTTTTTTCATCATTGGCTAAATAATGACTTAGTTTATTATCTAAACTTTAAATCATGATTTTAATTAGGATAATTTCCGAATTCAGGGGTTAGATTGAAAGGAAACTAAACCTAAGAAACTTAATTGCTTCAATCCCTGGACTATAGGACTTAAACGTAAATGCTAACGACATGTTAGACTTAAATGCATCAAATTCAAGGGCTGAATTGAAATAAATTAGAAGTTCTTACCTTGATTTGCTAATTGTTCCCTGGTTCAGTAAATACATTGTCGTTTTGGGTGTTACGGCCTATAAGACAGAATACTTCTCTCCTCTTTCGCTAAGAAACACTAGATCTCGCCTCTGCAGCGCCATCGCTGATAGTACCTCCGTCGCAACAGGTGGATTTCTACCATGAATGGCCACCGATCTTCAACCCGAGCTTCCCCTTTCCATTTCCTTCAAATCGACAGTTTTAATTCGAAAAATGACCCCTTTATCAACCCCTGAACTCTCTCTTTCCCGAATACACAAAGAGTAACCCAGATCTCTAACTTTTGCCCTTCGATTTCACTTGAAACTGACCTAGATCTACCCTTTTCTCTGTTCTTAACCCTTCCATGGTCTCAATTTCTAAAATAACTTCTCAAAACAGAAACCCCCAAATTTGAATCGATGAAGCCTAGTTCTAAACTGACAGAGTTTCCCCTTCCAATTGTTCTCCCCGGTGAAGAAGACGTTAAGGCAATTTATAGGCCAAAGGGTTAGGGGTGAGAGTGGATAAGAATGCCGCGTCTATGGTGAGCTGTAGGACGATAAGTCATCGTCCTACTCTGGTTTCTGTTTTTATAGCCTGTAGTTTTTGGATGCTACTCTTCAAATGGTTTTGCAATCCAGGTGACCTATTTCTACGCTAGTCCCTTTAGTTTCTTCTATATTTCAATTTTACAATTCTCGGCTTCCATTTCCCTCCCTAGTTCTGTCCCCTGCCAATTCTGTCCTTTCTGTATGATGAGCTGGCGGTTTGGTACTGGTTCTTGCTTAGGTGATCTATTGGTGTTTTAATCCTTCCTATTTAGCCTTCTTCACTACTTGGGATTTTCTGTTTAATCCTCTGACTTTGTCTCTGTTTGATGTGAACACCACTTGGGAGAGAGAAAGAAAACGAGGATGCTGAGCTGGCAGATAATGGGCTGACAACGTATTAAGTTTCTCTTCAAGTGACTTATTTAGGCTCTGTTTGTTTGAGCGTTTGGCACGTTTGGGGCCTCCCAAACGTGTCAAACGCCCAAAAAGCTATTTTTGGTGCAGCTTTTCTTGTGATCAGTTGTCCCACGTGGCGAGTTAAAAGCCGGCAAACAGTGTAAAAGCCAAAAGCTAGAAAATGCTGCAGTTGAGCGGTGGACTTTTAAACAATTTGAGTATTCCTTTTTTCTCCTCATAACATTTATGGAAACCCATAACTAACCTCAACCCAATAAATCCGAAATCTTTATGATTTTTTCTTTCAATTCTTTTCCTAACATATTAGCATGCTCCTGTATTTATTTTTTTTTTTGGCACAACGCTTTTGTATTTAGATTTGTTGGGTTCTTTTTTTACTTAAAAATATATACTTATTACATTTATGAGGTGATATATCCAAAATAATTTATCATTTGTATAAAACATAAACATAAAATAGCAAATAAATAAATACAAATTTTTATAAATAATAAATAATTAAAATTACAAACAACTAATATAAATTGAGATTTTTAATATATAATTAAATATATATTTACATTTTTAATATATATAAATTATATATAATAAACTACCATACTAATACCCTTAATGGTCATTTTATATTTTCACCTCACCACCACACCAAACATACATTTTTTCATCACTGGTTAAGTTCTCAAAGCTACAATTCTAATCTCATATGTACAGTTCATAATCTCCCCATTTCAATCTCCCCCACACCAATCTCACAGCTCTACCAAACAGAGCCTTAGTTTTTGGCCCCTTTCTATATCCCTTGATTCCACTTTGCTCCTAATTTTGTCTTCTGCGTTGGGATTGGGTATTATCGAACTTTCCCTTTTTAATCTCTACACGCCATTTCCTTGCAGGAGGTCCATTTCGCTGACTTGGCACTTCAAAGTTATTTTGGCACCAAGGAAGTGTGCCATCTCAGCAACGGTCTCTTTTCCCGCCCTTACTACTTCCTTTTCATTTGTGAACTCTTTTTTGAAAAATCTTTTGTGTATATATACTTGTGGATGATGCTTTGGTGTTTCTGAATTGCTTTGATCCCATGTTGCTTATTGAACTTTTGCTGCCTTGATGATCCCGAAGCTCCTTTTGGCACATCGGTGGCTTTTGACCTTGGTTGAACCCTGCTATTGCCTAGGTGCCTGTCACTGTACTCTGCTTATGACTTCTTTTGTTGCTCTCTTACTGTTGAATTTGCCCTTACAAGTTTTAAAATGTTTCTTCTATGGTCAATCTTTAGTTCTAGATGCTTGGCAGATATTGAATATTATGTTCTGATCTTGCTGTATTGCATGGTTTGCTTGCCTTTCTTACCTGTTATTAAGGCCCTATTATGTTCTTTCCCCTGTGTTCATCTGCCCTTGCATTAAAATGTCTTCGTGTGTTTGTGCGTTGTAATTGCCTTGGGCCAACCTCGTCATACATCTTAATGTGTTGCAACTTGAACAAATGCTATTGACTCTTCATATGTATATGCCCTCTTTTGAATCCCATTGGTCTCCTGACCTGGTGACTTTGAATTGTGCGATATTACCCATTTCCATTTACTGACTCAATGATCTTTCCATATGCTTGCCCATATTTGCTCTGCTAGATTTTGAATGCTGATGCATCTGAAATGAATTAGGACAATGACTACAAAGTAGTCCACCGAAATTGAATGCTAACATATGAGATGAGAGACTGATGTGATGAAGCCTAAATGCCATGTGACTTTTGACCAGATTGGTATATGTTGTTACTGAGATTAAAACTACTGATAGTATGCTGAAACTGTAAATGTAGTGCTCAAATGCAATGTATGTGAATGAATGCTGGATTTGTGATTGACATGAAATAACCAATGCATAAATGCCGCTGTTGCTTGTTGAACATGCTTGATATGCTTGCATTTTCTGAATATGATGTCGCTTGCCATGAAACCTCATTTCTTGTTGAAAGCTGCTGTTATGGCCTGTTTTAAGGACTTGTTTTGTTTCTGCCTTGCCCCATTATTATGTCGGTTATTGTCCCAGTTCTTACTTGCATTAAAATGCTCTTGTATGCATGCTGCATTGTAATTGCCTTTAACTAATCTTGCCATGCATCCCGATCCTTCTGATATGCCTCTGATGTGCTGGAACTTTTGAACACATGTTATTGACCCTACTGATAATCCTTAAATGTAAATGCCTGCTTCTGAATCCCGTTAACCCGGTGACCTTTTTATTCTTTCATTGAAACTTGCTGCCATGGGTGTAATCTTGTTTTTTTTTTTTCCTTCTTGTCTGTGTTTTATTCTACTCTTGTTGCTCTCTCTCGACATGGTATGGAGCTCTTTGAGACTTGAGCTTCCATCTCATTTCTCGGATCCTAAGCCAATGCCTAAACTGAGGCTTCCCCAGGCCTTACTTTTTGTTGGTCTTGGCCTACCTCTCTCTTGGTCCCATGACAACTTTAGGGAACCTTCCCTTATGTGCTTTATTGTGAAATAATTTAGCCTTTTGTTGTAATGCTACACCTTTTATGACTTGTAATGACATGCTATGCAATATGACAGGCCCACATATTTTTAAAAAAACGAGGAACAAAATATTTGCATTAATACTGTAGTCTAGTGAAAAGAGTATAGTTATTAATCAAGAGAGTCTCATATTTACAAGAAAAAGGACAACATAGAAAAGGTAGCGCCTCGTAATGATGAATACTCCGACGACGATGTTATGACAGGACCTGTGGATCTTTCGGAGAGAGAAAAGCCTACTATACTGATAGCACCCACTCAGTCTGGCTCGCACCCTATTCCTTGGTTCTCAAGAAATAGCTCTGTACCCATCTGCCCTGGCCTGTTGTTGCTTTTAATCCTTAAGCCGCCCTTTTCGGGTTTTCGGCTCAAGTTCCTCCTGTTCCATCCTTCCCTTTGAGCTGCCCTTTTGGGTTTTCAACTCAAGCGACCCCCAATGGATCCAAGCCGCCCTTTGCGGGTTTTCAACTTGAACCCCTCCTTTTTATATTTTTCTCTTTTTGCAACCTCTTACATTTTTAGGCCCAGTTTTTTTTTTAGTCTTTATTCCTCCTCACGCATAGTACTTCTTTACTGCGTCTACATTGATGGGACTCGGGAACTCTTCCCCATCCATCCCTTGTAAAATTAGGGCTCCTCCTGAAAAAGCTTTCTTGACTACGAATGGGCCGTCCCAAGTCGGGGTCCACTTACGCCTAGGGTCCCTCTGATCTGGAAGAATCCTCTTTAGTACCAAATCCCCCTCTTTGAACTGTCTGGGGCGCACTTTTTGTTATATGCCCTTTCCATCCTTTTCTGATACAACTGGCCGTGACAGATAGTCGCAACCCTCTTCTCATCAATCAGATTCAGTTGATCAATCCTTTCCTGTACCCATTCATCCTCCTCCAGTTTTAGCTCTGGGTACACCCTTAATGAAGGGATTTCTACTTCTATTGGCACTATTGCCTCCATCACATATACCAAAGAATAAGGGGTTGCCCCGGTGGACGTTCTGACACGATAAGCGTGGAGGGCGAAAGGTAATTTCTCGTGCCAGTCCCGATACGTCACTGTCATTTTCTCTATGATCTTCTTGATGTTCTTGTTTGCTGCTTCAACTATCCCGTTCATTTTAGGCCTGTATGTGGTTGAATTGCTGTGAGCAATCTTGAATTGTTTGCACGTCACTTCAATCAACCCTCGGTTTAGATTGGAAGCATTATCAGTAATAATTCTCTTAGGTAACCCATACCTACAAATGATCTCTCTCTTGATGAACCGAGCCACCACTGCTTGTGTGACACTTGGGTAAGAAGCAGCCTCCATCCATTTAGTGAAGTAATCTATTGTCACTAGGATGAATTGGTGTCCATTTGACGCTTTAGGGGTAATCATTCCAATGACATCTATGCCCCACATGGAGAATGGCAATGGGGAGGTCATAACATGTAGGGGATTTGGAGGTATATGTATGTAATCGTCGTATTCTTGGCATTTGTGGCATTTCCTCACATGGCCAATGCACTCTGGTTCCAATGTCAGCCAATAGTATCCTGTTCTCATTATCTGCCTAGCCATCCTTTGTCCACTGGCATGACTCCCATAGGGTCCTCGGTGGACTTCTTCGAAAATTTTTCGGGCTTCTGCCGATTCCACACATCTCATTAGGGTTCCATCCCGTCCTTTCTTATATAGCGTTTCTCCGCTCAAAAAATATCTTGCGACCATCCTCCTAAGTGTTCTCTTATCAACCTCAGTGGCATGTTCCAAGTATACTTGCTGTTTAAGGTATTGAAGAATATCAAAGTACCCACACTCATGACATGTGCAGGCAAATTCTTAATTTGGACATAAATGGGCTGAATTTCTGTTTTTGCCCCTATTTTGAAACATTGATGCCATAGTTGCGAAAGCGTCGGCCATTTGATTATCTTCTCTGGGCAGGTGATGGAATGTCACATCTTCAAACGACTTGATCATTTCTGAGACGTGGTCCTTGTGGAGTACTAGTTTTGGATCCCTGGCTTGCCATTCTCCTTTCATCTGATAAATCACCAAGGCTGAGTCCCCATATATTTCTACCCTTTTTACTTTCCTTTCTAATGCCAACTGGATTCCTAGGACACAAGCCTCATATTCTGCCACATTATTAGTTGCTAGAAATTTCAGTCTGGCAGTGGCCGGATAACAGTCTTCTTTAGCAGACACCAGTACTGCCCCGATACCCTGGCCAGACAAATTCGAAGCCCCATCAAAATATACTTTCCATTTTTTCTCAGTCTTCTCAACTTCTTCGACATGAGAGATTGTCATCAGGTCTTCATCCGGAAACTTAAAATTCACCGGTTCGTACTCTTCTGTCGCCCGATCCGCTAGGAAGTCTGCTATGGCACTTCCCTTGATTGCTTTCTGGGAGACATACACTATAACATATTCTGATAAAAGGACCTACCACCTAGCAATCCGTCCTGACAACCCTGGCTTTTCAAACACATATTTGATCGAGTCTAGCTTAGATACTAACCAAGTTGTATGGTATAACATGTATTGTCTCAACCGATGTGCGGCCCAAACCAGCGCGCAACACATCTTTTCTAGAGCGGAATATTTGGCCTCATAATATGTCAACTTCTTGCTTAGATAATAGATGGCGTGCTCCTTCTTACCCGTATCATCTTATTGTGCTAATACACATCCCATCGAATTTTCGAACACTGATAGGTACAAGATCAAAAGTCTTCCCTTTATTGGCGGGACCAATACCGGTGGATTTACCAGATACTCTTTAATTTTCTCAAAATCTGCCTGACATTCCTCATTCCGTTCTCCAGGGTTCTTTTTCCAAAGCAATTTGAAGATTGGGTCACACTTAGCTGTTAATTGTGAAATTAAACGGCCTATATAGTTCAAGCGACCCAAGAAACCTTTTACTTCTTTTTGAGTTTGTGGTGGGGGCAACCCCTGTATAGCTTGGATCTTGTCGGGATCTACTTCTATCCCCTTCTTACTTACAACAAACCCTAGCAGCTTTCCTGATATTGCCCCGAATGTACACTTATTAGGGTTTAACTTGAGTTGGACTTCTCTTAGCCTTTCAAACAACTTCCTCAAATTCTCCTTATGTTCTTTCGGCGTCCTAGCCTTGGCAATCATATCATCCACATACACCTCTATTTCTTTATGCATCATATCATGGAATAGCGCAACCATGACCCTCTGGTAGGTTGCCCCAGCATTTTTTAGTCCGAAGGGCATAACCCTGTAGTAAAAGACTCCCCAAGCAGTTACGAATGCAGTCTTTTCCATGTCTTCGGGCGCCATTTTGATTTGATTATACCCTGAAAACCCATCCATGAAGGAGAACCATGAGTACCCTGCTGTGTTGTCCACCAATATGTCTATATGAGGTAAGGGGAAGTTATCTTTGGGGCTAGCTCTGTTCAAATCTCTGTAATCCACACACATCCTTACTTTCCCATCCTTCTTTGGTACTGGGACAATATTAGCCTACCATTCAGGGTATTTGGCTTCTGGAAGAAACCCAGCATTGAACTGATTTCTAGTTCCTCTTTTATTTTCAACAACATATCTGGCTTCATCTTTCTCAATTTTTGTTGCACTGGCCTCATATCTGCTTTAGTGGGTAACCGATGAACTGCTATTTCTGGATCCAAACCTGGCATGTCTTAATAAGACCAAGCGAACACATCTGAAAATTCCTTCAGTAAATCTATTAATTCCTGTCTATCTTCTTCTGACAGGGTGGTACCGATCTTAACTTCTTTAGGAGCTTCCTCTATTCCCAAGTTAATCAATTCAGTAAGCTCTTTGTGCGGTACAATTTGTTGCTCGTCTGGTTCAACTATTCTCAAGAGATCTGATAGTAGGGTTTGATCCTCAATGTCTTCATCGTCTAACTTATCAGTACAGATAGGCCTCTCAAAGTTAAATCCTGGCTTGTCTGAAGCATCTTTGCATTCATCACTGTTTGGCCTGAAATATAATAATAAAAGCTATATATATAGAAATAATAATAGTATGTAGAAATAAATGAATAAAGAATGAAACATGAGACTAGAATGTGGGCCTGAAACATGCATTGCATTTCATTACTCATGATAAAAAGTTTAACATGACAAGTTAAGTTCAAACAGGCAAAATTATTTAATTACAAATTCATGATTGTCTTTAGTCGTTGGTTCATTACATTGAACTTTCAGCCATCGCAGCGGCGCATTCAAAAGTCTCCAGTTGCCAACTTCTTCTCCTGCAGCCAAAGGGTAGATCCATGAAGATGGTTTTGCTGCTTCCTCTGTGATTGTATTGATGGTGAGCTCAGCTATCTTCTGAAAAACATCTTCCTTGTCCTGCTCATGCTGACTCTTCTTCCCATTAACCCATCCAGCTGATCTAAAGGTTTGTGATAAAGGCGGTATCTCCATCTTCACCTCTTTTCGAAAGGGTATACCTAACCTTTCAGCTCTTCTCATTTTCCTTGCATCAGCCAACATCTGATGATCTTATGTTGTAGGCTTGAAACCCAATCCAAAGCCTGGATTTATAGTGAGGTCTTCAACTACCCTTGTCCTTCCTTAGGCATTCCGGCCTAAACCTTGACCTTCCTTCCAGCTGTATTTCTTCATCACTTGTACTGCCATAACTGTACCTTCCTTTGGTTTCTTAAAATGATCGACCTCGAAAGCTCGGAAAGAGCATTCATAGGACCGTTCAACAGCTTCAACATATGGAGTGGCGCTTGTCTGGGTTACTATCATATCCTCTTGACCATTCACTATCACCAACTTATCTGCGGTCATAAACTTGACCTTCTGATGTAAGGTAGAAGGTATTGCTCCTGCCATGTAAATCCATGGCCTCTCCAGCAGGCAAGAGTAAGAGGGGTCAATGTCCAACACCTGGAACATCAGCTTAATGGGAATTGGTCCTATCTCCAAGCAAATCTCTAACTCTCCGATGACATCTCTTCTGGTTCCGTCAAAAGCCCTGACCACCATGTGATTGGTATGAATATAAGTGGGCTCTACCGGCAAAGCTTTCAGAGTGTTCAACGGCATGATGTTCAGTGTTGAGCCATTGTCAATAAGTACTCTTCCCATACCCATGTTCTCGCATTTTACTGTTATATGGAGCGCCTTGATCCCTTTCCTTCCTCCTTCTAGGATTTCTATTTCAGAGAAAGTTATGAAACCTTCTGCAGCTATGTTTCCAACCACTCGATCCAGATCACTGACTGAAATGCTTTGTGGTGCATAGGCTTGGCTCAAGACTCGTAACAGTGCGTTTCAGTGAGCCTTAGAACTCAAGAGTAAGCTTAGTATGGAAATTTTTGTCGGGACCCTGCTCAAAGCTTCAACCGCACTATACTCACTATACTTGATAATTTTCAGGAATTCTTCTGCTTCAAAGCCAGGCATGGGTGTTTGGTAATTCCCTCATCTTTTCTCTCTTCTGATGATTGACCTTTCCCAACTACTTCCTCCTTTCCTTCCCCCGGTGATGGTGATTGATCCTTTTCACCGACCTTCTCTGAGGGGATGCTTTTTCCTTTGTCTTCAGGGGAATAAATCCTCCCACTCCTGGTCATTCCTCCTACCCCAGTGATATTTGCTAAGCCTCCGTCACGTTGTTGCATAGTATAGCTACAATCGTATTTCCAAGGGACTTGACTATCTTTTTCATAGGAAAAATGTCGTGGTGGTATCACAACCAGGCATGGTGCTTGCAAGTGGGGTGGCAACACTGTGGGTGGCTTAGGGATAAAGGCCGGGCTGGACTGGCTTAGCAATGTATGGTGCCGGGATGAATGGTTGAATTGCTGATGAACTTGGCTGATTGCATTCTTCTAAGACCACATCAATTTCTTCCTCCTTCTTTTCTATATTGAATTCAATGCGATGTTCATCCATTAGTCTCATTACTTTCCTCCTAAACTCCGGACACTGTTGAATCCCATGTACTAGACCATGATATGGGCACACTTCTTCATGATCCCCGTTTCTGAATTCCCCTGTTTCAATTATCTCTGCCTTGGTCAACGCCTTGAAAACCACCCCAAATGGTGTCACTACTTCTGATACCCTCTTCCTTAGGACCTCTCCCTTCCCTACCATAGTCACCTGGGCATTTCCTTGGCTTTGGCCCTGTGTGGCCGGAACTGTGTTTCCAAAATGCAACTTGCCGCTCTTGACCAGATCCTGGACTACATACATCAATTTCAGCAGTCTTCAGTCGCGTGCCCTTCTGCTCCTGAGTGAAAGTCACAATGGGCCTTAGAGTTGTACCATGCAGGCAATGGAGGCTTCATTGGATTCATATAAGGCAACCTCTGAACCAGGTTCTGTTGAAGTAATTGAGGAAGGAGCTTAGTATATGTATAAGGAATAGGATCAATGGGTACCCTTTCCCTTGTAGTCCCTGCCTTTTGGGTATTTGTTTGAGTTGCACTAGCCCCAACATTGACTGGCCTTGGATTAAATGGAGTCCCAGTCGTAGAACTAACGTTTCCAGTATGCGGGTAGTAGTACTGATTGGGTTGTGGGGGAGCATAATACACGTGTGGTTGGTATGGGTAGGTGTATCCATAATTCTGAGGGTTGTATTACTGCCCTTGTCCTCTAGGTTTAAAACTGGTCTGTTCCACCTCATGTGTATCTCCCTCCTTCTTCTTTGCGTGTCCTTTCTTTTCAGCTTCTTCAAACACCCCGGCTCTGAGTCCTGATTCATAAGCTTCCCTGGCTATGGTTAGTCTGGTGAAAGAATTCGTTGCTGCTTGGTAAAGTTCACGGAAGTATTCCTTTGGCAGGGTCTTCAAGAGAATGTTGCCCACTTCAGTGTCTTTCATCAACGGGTCCACTTCTAGTGCCATATCCTTGAAACGCTGGCCATATTCTTTAATGGTTTCTCCTGGCTTTCTCTTCATGCTGTGTAGCGTCTCTCGAGTGGGAGCCAATTCATCAATATGCCGGTACTGCGCTATGAAAGCATTAGCCATATCATTCCATGTTTTAACTTGGCTAGGGTCTATCCTGTTGTACCACTTGAAAGATGAACCAGCAAGACTTCTCTGAAAGTGGTGCATGAGCATGTCATCCGAGCAATAAGGCTGCATCTGCCGTACATAAGTATTGACATGGTCTTCTGGTGATTTCGTTCCATCGAACTTCTCGAACTCAGGAACCTTAAACTTTGCGGGCAATACCAAATCTGTGACCAGTGCTACCTTGTCTACTCCCTTGAAGTATGTCTGCTGACCACCGATTCCTTTGAACTTCTCTTCTATTCTTCCCCATAGCTTCTCAGTGGACTCCTCAATCAGTTTCCTTAGGTCATCCTCGGCTTTAAAGTCTACCGGGACTTCCTCTTGTGTATTTTACCCCTCGAGAGAATGGTAGGATAGTGAGTGGTGATGGCTCAAAAACCGTTAATGACATGTTAGGGTGCGCATACTGCCCTGGAGGCAAGTTGCTCCTTCCCATTGTGGGTAATGGGAGACTACCTCGAGGGGGATGGGCAAGTCGATTTGACTTGATGACAGGATGGGCACGTTGACTTGAGTTATGCTTACTGTTATCCCCGTGGATGGCACATTCTCGGTTTCAGTAGTCTCTGCAGTTCCTGAGCTTCCAGGGGCTGCACTAATCATTGCAGCTATCAATTCTATCATACAGTCCATCTTTGCATTTGTCGCCTCCTCGGCGCCTAGCCTCCTCATCACTTCGCACCATTTCTTCCCTCAACTGCTGGATCTCTGCTGCCTGATCTCCCATTTTCTTAGTCTAAGATCTGGTATTGTACTGCTGGGTTCGCTGATATATTTTTTTGGGCGGAGCTATCTTTTTAAAACCTGGTGAGTTTGGACGTTAGTATTTCATTATTAATTTTTATTTACCAAGTTATTTAATATTTTTAAAGGTGTGGGGTCCCTCTACACTTTTGGTAGGAACTTCCACAAGCCAAAAACCGTGATCATTTAAAATTCTGTGAATAATCAGGGCTCTTGCCTTTATGCAAATGATGCGAATGAATGTCATGATGCATGAACCTACTAATTCATCATTCAAGGTAGAGAATATAAGCTGGGAATCATCGTTGTTGCCATAATTTACTACTTCTTCATTGATTGCAAACATCCATACCACAAAACCAATGTTCGAGGACTAGAATTTAAAGTTTACAAGCCATGGTTCCGCAAATAAAACTTAAAGATTAAAACCCATTGTTCCGAAATTAAGGACTACAAATCACTGTTCAAGACTTTAATTACATAAGCAACTTAGTAATTAAAGATTATTACAAAATCCTGGCACCACTATTTCCCTACAAATTGTCTGAAGGGTTTCATCGCATTTGCTGATAGTGTCTTCCAAGGCATCGACTATTGGCTGGAGGCGCTGACCGAATGGGGCTAGGCATGGCAGCACATCTTTAGCTTGATCCCTGATGTACTCTACCTGGAGCAGCCCAATCTTGATCTGATCTGGAAGAAAGCGTATCTGCTCACATCTCTAGTTATAGGCCTACTTCTGCAAGAATCCATAGTCCTGGAGTGTCCAATTCTCAGCCCTCAATGTTGCATATTCTTCTTCTAGGCTCTTAAGTGTATCCATCTCTTTTCCATACTCTTCCTGGTTTACCCTGGCTGCTTTTTTATGGAATTCCACAGCTGCTTCTACTTAGGCCTTGGCTGCCTTAACTGCTTCTGTCCTGACCTTTTCTGCCCTTAACTCATCTTGTACCTTTTCTTTTTCTTCCCTAACCCTTTTCAAATGGCGATCCAAAGTCTTAACTCGCTAAGCTGCTCTCACTGAACTTTCCCCTCTTTCAAAGTCTAACCTCTCCATGAGATAACTGGTTGATATCTTGGCAGCTTTGTTCTTTTTGGCCAAACTGGTTCTCTCTTTGCATTCAGCTTTGAAGTCCTTCTTGAGCTCTTGATGTCGAGCCATGGCCTTTTCTTTCAACTTCCTTTAACCTTTGGCCTCTTCTTCTACTTCTCTGCATTTGGCGCTCATTTCCTCAGCCCTTTTCTCCGCTTCCTCTATCCTCAACATTAACTGCCAGTTAACCTCTGCTATCCTCTGGGCTTCAGTACCATCCCTCTCCCTTTCCAACTGCATTGTTAGCTTCATAACTATGTCATCCATCTCTTCTCCCACTGCAGCTTCAAGATTAGTAGGGGGAAGCACCTTTATGTCCTTTACTCTCATCCAATGCCAATCTGGGTATTCGGGTGTCACTCTCGTATCTCTACCACCCTTCCTGACAAAGGTCATCTGTGTGAGGGTTTTCCGCAGTTCTTGGGCTTCCAGCTTGGAGTTCTCTTCCCCATAGACGATGTTGACGCTATTCAGACCATAAGTGGCAGGGATAAACTGCTTTCTACCATACTACCTCCTAACCATCACGGGAGAATAACTTGTGACGCCCCACAGCCCAAACAAAGGTACCCACGGGTTGGGCCCACAACAGTAAGCCACAGACGTAGTATAGAACTAAAAGGCAACCCAGTTAACTTGCTCAGCTTTAAGGGTTCCCAAGAATCTCATCCATTGTGCTTTGGTCTTGCCCTTGGGCCACTTACTGTCCAGATATTCCCGTAATGGGATTTGATTTTACCCACTGATGGATCGGAAGTGTAAACCGAGACTCTATGCATTCAAAGTGTCCTTTGATTTAACAACAGACACAGCCTTGGAACCTCCCTTCCTTCTTACAACAGTGATTCAAGGACCTGATAGTCTCTGCTAAAATAGTTGGGGCTGGGTTATCTCCTCTTAAGATAGAGTCCACTAGATGAATCACATAAGAGTCTACATGCCCTAGCACCCTGGGAAACACTACCATTCCATACACCAGCACGGCCATAACATTCTATCCCTGAGGAGTGTTTGGGTTCTCTCTGACATATTCCATAAGGCACTGCACTGCTAGTCCATTTGAATAGCCTTTACTCTTCCAATACTTATCATAAACTGCTTTTTTCACTCCCATGAGATCTGCCAAGGTGGATATTGCAGTAGGTTTATTGCCCCTCATGAAGACCCTAAATCCTGCCTTAATAGCTTTTAGCTTAAACAACTGAGCATATTCTTCAATGGTAGGGACCATGTCTACTTCATTAAAGGTGAAGCAACGGTATGATCTATCCTAATATGGCAACATTCCCCTAATCATGTTGTCATCTACCTTCACTTTCATAAGCTGCACCACTGCCCCATACTTTTCCGCAAACTCTGATTCAATCATCTTCATTTTCATCCACAGCTTGTGAAGCTTAGTGTAGTCATTTTGCTTCAGATCCAAGTATATCTCCTCTGGTACTTCTGATCAGAATTCCCCAGTCAAATTATCCCCATACCGCTTCTGCACCATCTCATGCCTATGCTGGGCGTGAGCCGAGTGACTATCCCTTAAATGCTCCGGCACAAACTAATAATATTCTAACAACTACCATTGTCAATAATCAAGGAGAAAATTTCACCATCAATGTTGCATCTCGTACGGAAGAATTTGCATGTTTGATTTTCATCCTCGACTTTTGGCGCCAGCAACATCTTTGTCACCACATAAGTTCCATGATCATCATTAGAGTCATAATCATCTTCTCCATCAGGACCATAAATACATCCATCATTATTTCCATTCACTTCATAATCTTCCACAAAATTAATCTTCCTATAGGTACAATCACTAGATCTATGACTTGGATAGTTGCACTTGAAGCACTTGCCCATTGTTGGTCTAGCACATAAGGATTTGTAGGTTTTATGGTTTCCTTAGCACCTCTTTTTGTTTTGCCTTATCTATTGGATCATTCTTCTCACACGCTGGAGAATTCCAATTTGAATTTCTTCCCTTCTGACTCGACTCCCCATAAGTCTTCTTATTGGATTCGCCTTGATACTTCTCTTGCATCAAAAGTTTGGTCGTCGTAACCAAATTTCGAGCATCATCAACCATATGTAGAGACTGAACCCCAATCTTTTCTCTTACTAGAGGCTTCAAACCATTCAAATACCTAGCCACCCTTTGATCCTCAGATTCTTGCAAGTTGACTTTTTCTAAGAGCCTCAAGAATTTTGTCGTATAATCATTGACACTCCTCTGACCTTATGAGCACCTATGGTATTGCATATAGAAAATTTGCTCATAATCAGGCGGTAAAAATCTCACATGGATTTTCTGCTTCATCTTTCTCCAAGTTGTAATAGCTCTCTTGCCCTACCTTCGACTTTCTGTTTGCAGCCTATCCCACCAAACTGAAGCACCACTTTTCAGCCTATAAGTTACCAACTTAACCCTTTTCCCTCTGGAATTTCACAATAATCAAAGAATCGTTCCACCTCAAAGATCCAATCAAGGGTATCTTCTATTCCTAAATTTCAATCAAAATTAGGAATATCAACTTTAAGCTTAAAGGGATTATCTCTTTCCTTGTTTTTGTTATCTCCTCCAACAACATATCTAGCATATCCACCATTTTCATTGTTAGATAATGAATCGTGTAATCGTCTCACAACGTTTTGATTTCCAAGGTTAGCCCTCGCCGCAGGTTCGATAGGGGCGAGTCCTCTATCGCAGTTACTCGCGTTGTTACCTTCCCCGTCGTGTCGCAACGTGCGGGCCCGGGGTCCGAACCCTACCGCTGAACGACTTGGGGAATACTACCGGATTCTATGGGAGTCGCCACTAATCTTTTTTACCTAGGTGTGATTAGCCACCTATCCAATTATTAAGTCTAATATTAATCTAAGCTTGGCAAAGGTAACACTAAACTTAATAAAGTCTGCTTAACCAGAGTCTAGGGTCCGGGAGTAGGGTACGCGTAGGGAAGGATTAGCACCCCCATGACGCCCGTCGAAATGACGGCACTGACAAGTCTAGAACTAACTGTTGGTTTCTACCGTTGGTTGTCATTATCCCTAATGCTTAAGTCTATTCATGCCAAATTTAGAGGTTTTTTAATGACTCTTAATAATGTTAACCCATTGTCTTTCTATTGATTACCTTTCTACTTCTTCATTGACTCAACTACCCCGAATTAAGCTGATTACTACTATTTACTCCCTTTACTTCTTGATTAACTTTCTCTGAATTACTACTGATTACTCTTTTTACTTCTTTATTAACTTAATTACTCTGAATTAAGCTAACTACTACCGTTTACTCCTTCTTTTACTTCTTTAACATAATTAAACCAATTTTCTGGTTACTCCATCTTTTACTTCTTAGTTTAATTACTCTGAATTAAACCCATTACTGATGACTCCTTTTACTTTTACTTTTAATTACCAATTTACTGATTACTTCTTTTATTTTTACTCCTTTTTCCAATTTTCTGCTTACTTCTTTTACTTTTACTCCTTTTTACCAATTTTCTGCTTACTTCTTTTACTTTTACTGATTACTTCTTTTACTTTTACTCTTTATTACCAACTTACTGATTTCCTCTTTTACTTTTACTCTTGATTACCAATTTACTACTTACTCCTTTTACTTTTACTCTTGATTACCAATCTACTGCTTACTCCTTTTACTTTTACTCTTAATTACCAACTTACTGATTACTCCTTTTACTTTTACTCATTTTTACCAATTTTCTGATTACTTCTTTTACTTTTACTTCATTCTGCCGATTACTTCTTTTACTTTTACGTCATTCTGCCGATTACTTCTTTTACTTTTACTTCACTTTGCTGATTACTTCTTTTACTTTTACTTCTTTTTTACCAATTTACTAATTACTTCTTTTACTTTTACCATTTTTCTGATCACTTCCTTTACTCTTTTTATTTTAATTACTATGAATTAAACTATCTACTGGTTACTACTTCTTTTACTATCTTTTTAGTTTAATTACTCTGAATTAAACTATCTACTAATTACTTTTTCTTTTACTCTTTTTAGTTTAATTCCTCCGAATTAAACTATCTACTTAGCCACCTTGGCTGATTTACTTAATGATCTTTGAATTAAGTCTTTGACCGATTCATGGATGCATGATCGTGTCGTCTATGACCATAAAAATAATCCCCACAAATAACTAACTAGAATAGCTAGGGCAAGTAGGGGTCGAATCCCATAGAGAAGGTTTATATGATGAACAATCAAAAGATAGAAAGATCTTTTCCAAAAAGCGATTAGAAAACAGGGGATTGAAAGTAACAATTATAAAGAAAACAATTAAACTAAAATTTATGGTGTATCGTGCAGAGATCGTAAAAATAAAGCAAAGCAAATCTAAATCTAAATCTAAATCTAAATCTAAAGCAGATTAATAAAGCAAATTAATAAAGCAAATAATAATTATAAAGCATACTTCTTCACCAGTGGTATCCTTCAATCAAATTAACTATGGATCCTCGATTTAAAAGGTGAATTTCGCATCTTATTCTTGACTGACAACTGATATAGGTTTCCCAACATGTATTTTAGATAAGAGGCCAATTAGAGCTGGAGTTATCCCTATTATTTCTTCAATGATCGATTACTTTCTTAAGGCTTAAAGATCACTTGAGAACAAAGCATTAAGAACAGTTAATTTACACACATGCTATAAATAGAACCATACGAAGAGAAATTTCTCGCCCTCCGGTAGACAAATACCCATTAAGCAGCGATTAAACAAACCTAATTTGCTACATAAAATCAAACTTGAGTGATTAATTCTAAGTATGATCTAGCCATAGATCTTCCTCTTACATCCTTAGTGGCCACATAATTCAGATAAGATTCAGAATCATAAAATTATTCTAGGGTTTTGACTACTATCATCAAGAACTTAACACAAAATTATAAGTATAGAAATCTCACCATAATCAATTGATTGAATTCACCAAAGGATCAGAAGTATTAAGGATTTAGCTACTCATGGATTTAGGAAAATCCATGAGAGGCATAAGAATACTTACAGGACTGGGAGAGGCGGAATCTCCCCTTTGAAACCCTAGGGACGTCGACTCCCTCTATTGCTAGAGAGGATGTCGACTTCTCCCCTTCTAAAACTAGAGAAAAACCTAAAAACTAAAGAAAGGTAGAAAAAGAGAATAAAACTATATGAGAGATTAATTGTGTAGTATTGTGTGTAAGTGTGTGATTTGTGATACAGGAGGTGGCTATTTATAGTGGAGAATAAGGGTAGGACGGTTTAGGCTCTTTTCTTGGTCTCCAAGTAGGATTAGGTGTCATCCTAGAGTAGTCTCCAAGTAAAAAGAGGACTTCTAGAATTTCCTGGAAATTTCTGGATTTGAGCAGGGACTTCGACTTCAGTTTCGGGCTTGAAGATGGCAGATCTGGGCTTTGCACTTCAAAAGAAAGTTGTAGAGCTCGGAGTTAGCTTTCCAACGAGTACTCATGGGCTTAAAACGGACATCTGAGCAGAAAGTTATGGCCTTTCTACGAAGACTGCGCTGAAATTGGGCTGATATCGCAAATCTACGGGATTATTGCGGGATTTGGATATGGGGCCTACAAATTGGGATTTTAACTCCAATTACAGGTTTATATGGGCTGAATATATTCCCATATAAATAATCCAAAAATCCTCAACTTCAGGGCTTCATCTGGGCTTGTCTTCAATCCTTAACAAATTAAGCTCCAAATCTTCAATTTTGCTTCTTGAATTAATTCTTCAATTCTTCAAAATATCTTCAATCACGAACTTCGAATCTTCAAATCTTCATTCCAAATGGCTAAATCCATAGTTGAGTAAAAAGTCTCCAAAATAGCTCCAAAAAGAGTGAAAAACAATAAGTTTTCACTTTTCTTGTCTTCAGGACCTAAAAACACAAATACTAACAAAATAGGGTAAAAACACATAAAAATAGCAAAAAGTATATAAAAATAACTATAAAAACATGCATAATTTGAGCTCGATCAATGCATATGATGCATGTAATCTGGTTTCTGGTTTAAAAAGTGTTTACCGTGTGATTATACGAGAAACACTATTTGGGCACCTTCCACTTGACTGGTAAGACCCCCATTTAGGTGTTTTAAGCCTAGGAAACTCGGGTTGAAACAAACAAACACTGTCTACATTCCAACCGATTATTCCATCATCGGAGTCAATTTCCTCAACTCAAATGGACATATCATTTAACAACAATTTATTGAAACATAAATATGGATGCACATGCCTCAACTAATCCTAACCTTCTTAATCGACCTTAGATTAAACTTGTTTAATTTTCCTAATTCATTTACCCAAAAATGAATTAACCTAGACCTCAAATTGAAACAAATTATGGTTGTAGGACCTAATTGCACACGAATCAGGGACGAAATTGAACACTCCAACACGTATTAGACTTGATTTAACACGCTGTGAACTATCAGGACCTAATTGCACAGAATACAGGAGCTAATTGAACTAAAGACAGAGAAATTACCTAAATTAGTAAATTCCGAACAATGAAACGGTACGTTTTGGTTAACATAGTACGAAACTATATAAACCATTGTTTCCCCTTCTTCTCCAAAGCCTTTGAAACCCTAGCCGCTTATCCTCCGCACCTAAAATCGCCTCCTCCACTCGGTCCATCATTCTCCGCCGCATCGGAGCTCTGCTTGATCACAGATGGAGCTCAAAAGCTCCAGATCGCTTCTCTTTTTCTTCTTCCCAAATCTGGCTTTGGTTCTCCTAAAAAATGCCTCGAACCACCTCAAACTTGCCTTGGCCGAAACAACTCAACCTTCTCCGATCTCATTTTCTATCTGATGGATTTCCCCCATC